GAATGCCAAATGTTTGAGTTCCAATACATCTAATTAGTCTTTATAGACTGATTTATTCTTTATCACAAAATGATTCCCATCAGCTTTCTTTACCAATATAGTTTTGGAAGGACAGTTTTGCTCGTGGAATCTATGTGAGCTAACTCCAAGAGTGGCAGAGTTTCTCTCAATCTCAACCTGGCAATTTCCTTCTCACCTGTTAGGCCCTGAAGGAGGTGCAAGGGACAGAAAGGACCTGGACACCTATGTCCTATATCCTATATCTAGGCTTTCTGCATCCACTTCCTTCCATGCTGGCTGTGGTCTTGCCTACCCCATGTGCTTCTGCCCACTTTTTCTCTCTCACCCTGTGGCCCTCAAGGCCCACAGAAGCTTACACTGTGACCTCCCCTCCTCCCCAGACACTGACAGCAGGGAAAAGCATGCCTGAGCATATGGAAGGGTAAGGGAGGGCTCATACGTTAGCCAAGAACTGAGCCTGAATCAGATCACTGTACACGTCTCAGGGCCAGCTGCTGAGCTCCAGGATTGGTTCCTCTTGGCTGCAGTCAAAGGCTTCAACAGAAAACAACCAAACATCACGAGCAGCAAGCTCCTGATCCTGAGATGCAGGAAGAGCTTGATGTCCAGGTCCACCCGCCTGTGTGTCTCCCGGGCTTCCTGCCTGTGACCATCTCTGAAAGCCAGAGGCTGCTAGGAGAACAATCTGTGCAGCATAATTGTGGCCAGACTGCAGTCACGTTTGCCTGACAGTTTCCTCATAAAAGGAGCAAGTCATGCAGTTGTTAAACATTTTAGGATTTTTCTGGAAAAGAGACTTTAGAGTTCAATTTCTGCAACCCAGAAATATAACACTGTATCAATCAGTATTATACTAGAGAACCAGATATAACAGAAGATATGTGAATATTTTAAGAAATTAGAAGACTTGCTTGTGCTGGTCACCCACAGAACTGTATGAGGGACAGTGCAGACCATCTGCATGGTGGGGACCACAGGTTTTATCCAGGGGCTGGAGCTGCCTGCAAGTCTGTATCAGGAGGCTGATGGGTCTGTGATGGAAGACTGAAACGCCTATACCAGAGGGAGGAATCTATTCCTGAAGAGGGAAGGATCCCAGGTGGAAGAGTCTACACAGAAGCCAGGAGCTGCCACCCAAGGGGAAGGAGAGGACGCAGTTTCTCTGAGGCTCAGAAGCTGACCCTTCCTTCCTCAGTTCCTCTTTATTCCCTCCCAATTACAGGCTGCCTGGGGCAGGTCCTCGGCACTCCCTCGGTTGCACAATGGCTGAACAGACTTAGTGACCCTTCTAAACTTCTCAAGTTGTCACACTTAGTCAGCTATTACAGTGCCTCCCTCCACACAACCTCAGCCCCTGCCCAGGTTAGGAAGCCCCATCTTCCAGCAGGTGCCCTGGAGCCTGTCACACAGGTGCCCTCTGCATGCCAGGGAGCAGCGTCTGCCAGATGCACTGGGAAGGCAGCTGCAGGGTGGAGGAGGCTGACTATGCTCCTCCCTCACCCAGACTCAGCTTCTGGAGAGGCCTGCACTCTGCTGGGGGGACTGGGGGGGCTGATACTCTGCTGGGGGGACTGGGGGGGCCTGGCACAGCACTTCCTGGGGGCTCTGCAGTTATTCTCTAGAGTTGGTCTCATAGGCCTTTTTTTTTTTTCCTTCGGTTCCGGGGATTGAACTCAGGACCCTGCGCTTGCCAGGCAAGCACTTATTCTACTGAGCTATCTCTGAAGCCCTCATAAGCCTTTACTCATGTAAATGATTAAAGCTCGCCAGTGGCTGTGAGTCTGCACCCAGCTCCTCCACTGCATCTCCTGGCACACCCCTTCAGTCCTCCAGAGCAGCCTGACCTGTCCTGTCCCCAGACTTCTCTCTGGCACAGATGGACTCAGCACTGGAGGAATCAGCTCTCCCCAGCCCCACTTTATCCTGAGTGCTCAGCAGCACACTCTGACCATCCCAGAGCTCCTGCTGGACACCAGCTGTCCTGCCTGCCCTGGCTTTGCTCTGACCCCAGCAATGTTCCCCTGACCACCTGCTGGAGGCTCGGCTTTGGTCTCATGGGTCCAAGAGGAGAGGTTTTCAGAGGCATCGCCTTGCTAAGTTCTAGAAAGATTAAGGCAGGGGTAGTTTTGAGTTCAGCATATGCATATCAAGCAAGACAAATTTAATGATGAAGCCAGGGTCAACCTCCTAATTTCCATAACCAGAAGTGACATACTTTATCCCACTCACTTCTTTATGAGTCCACAGCGCACTTAGCAGGGCCAAGAGGCTCCACGGGTTCTCCCAAGTTCCATGAGCCGAGACACAGTGAGACCTTGGCTTGCAAACATAGTGTAATCCAGAGACAAGCTCGTAACCCAGAGGCCTGTGTGTCACAGGACATTCTGCGTAATGATGGCATCCCAGGTGACTTGTACACAGCTCAAAAATATCCATGTAAAATGATTCCAATGCTGTATTACAATCCAAAACAGTAAAGAAAATGCAAACATAAAAAAGTAATAAATTCTTCTGTCCTTATCTTTGAAATCCTCCATGACTGGTGTGAGGGAGACAGGAGAGAGGAGGGTGACCGTAGAATCATTTTGAATCTCACTAAGGGAATCACAGCTATCTATTGGCTCCATGGAAGCTTTTTCCTTTTATGCAAATTTAATAAGAAACCTGTACACTGGCATTTATTTTGCTTCCTTTTCAGCATTTTGATGAAATGTGATGTTACGCTGTCCAAAACATATTGGATGATCATATTGTGACAGTCTTATTCTGGTGTTGCTTTACTACAAAATTTTACACTCTTTCTCCATTTAGATATCTCCCTATTCCCATTGGAAGTGAGGACTAAGCCAGCAAAAAAGAAGGAAAGAAAGAAAGAAAGAAAGAAAGAAAGAAAGAAAGAAAGAAAGAAAGAAAGAAAGAAAAAGGAAGGCAGGCAGGAGAGGAATCCCCCATGCCTTTTCTTCCTCCAAATCTGCAGAGAAGAGCTATTCCATAATCTCTTGGTCTTGGAAGATGATCAC